AATGGATCCTTCGAAAGTGCAATCAGTACCTGACTGGGAACCACCTAGAACATGCAAACAATTGCAAAGATTCCTGGGATTTGCAAACTTTTACCGGCAGTTTATCCCCGCTTTTGCCCAAATTGCTCTCCCCATCACCAAGCTCTTAAAAACGAAGGGGGAGGGAAACTCAAAACCGAAGCAGCCTTTGAACTGGACAATGGCATGCCAAGGGGCATTTGAAAAACTTAAACAGCTGTTTTTGGCAGAACCAATCCTAAAGCACCCAGACACATAGAAACCATTCGTCATACAAGCAGATGCTAGCAATGTGGTTATAGAAGCCGTCTTACTTCAGAAAAATGAGGAAGACAATTACAACCATGCACTTACACATCCAAAAAATTGAATGAATCTGAGCAAAGGTGGGCTATTTAGGGGAAAGAGAGGTATGCAGTTCGATGGGCTCTTTTAACCTGGAGACATTTCCTAGAGGGGAGTAAGATCCCTTTTGAAGTCTGGACGGATCATAAAAATTTAGAAGCCCTAAAGACCCCAAGGAAACTCTCGCAAAAACAAGTACTATGGGCTCAGTACTTTAAACGGTTTGAATTTCTGCTCAGATACCTCCGGGGGGGGGGGATTTTCTGGCAGATGCACTATCCAGGAAACCACAATACAATAGTATGAAGCCAAACATAATCAAACCCATGATAAAAGACAATCAACTAGCCGCTAGAGTAACCACCATATCCCAGGGACAGCGAGACATTATGGAGGACAATGACACCACCCAAACTTTTAAACAAGCTTTAACCACCGATGAATAGTTTTTGAGCCACAAAGACAGCTGCCTGATGAAAGATAATATAGCTTGGGTGGGAGAGAAGTTGTATGTTGCAGCTAGCCAAAGACTGTACTTAATGGAAAGGTGCCATGACTCCAAACTAGCAGGACACTTTGGCTTTGTAAAAACTTTACATCTAATTAAAAGGCAATTTTGGTGGCCATCACTAAAAAAGGACATAGAGAGCTTTGTAGCCAGCTGCCCAATTTGTGCAGCAGCTAAACGACGCCAACGCAAAATGCCAGGACTGTTACAGAAGATAGCTGAGCCCTCAGCACCCTGGAAGGAGATAGCTATGAATTTTATTGTCAAACTACCAGAAAGTGCAGGGAATACTGTCATTTGGGTCGTAACAGACTTGTTTTCAAAACAGACATATTTTATACCATGCCAAATGATCCCAACTGCCAAAAGTCTAGCCAAGTTATTCCTGATACACATTCATCACCTTTATGGAGCCCCACAGAAAATCATCTCCGACAGAGGGGTCCCATTCACCTCAAAATTTTGGGGGGCATTCTTAAACTTACTGGGCACCACCCAAGGACTGACTCCAGTCACCATCCATGCACCAATGGTCAAACTGAAAATCGGAACATGGTTCTAGAACAATACCCAAGATGTTTTATTAATTTTCAACAGGATAACTGGGTTGATCTTTTACCTTTTGCAGAAGTGACCTTCAATAACGCTGTGAACTCAAGCACTGGGTTCACCCCTTTTAGAGTAGCAATAGGCCAGGATTTCAACCCCATGCCTGAACTACCCACAGAAGAACCCACTATCCCCTCACTAAAAGAATGGATAGACAACCTAGGAAACACATTGCCAGTGGTTAGATTAGCATTACAGGAAGCTAGAGAGGCTTTTAAAACTCAAGCTGACAAAAGAAGAGTAGCTCCCAAACCCTTCCATGTTGGAGATAGAGTATACTTATCTACAAAATTCTTGAAGTCATTGCAACCATCAAAAAAATTAGGGCCGAGAACTTCCAGTTGGGCGGGGCCTGAGAGGGTTGTTGTTTTTAACAGCTCCGGATTCTTGGCTGCGTTAAACTGTCTAAACAGTATCCATCAACATGTCCAGGACAAGGAGAAGAAGGCGAGCAAGCTATGTTTGGGCGGCGCTCCAATTAAGCCCCCCGGAACTTAAATCTGGGATGGGAAGTGGGAGCCACCCGGCAACATAGTGATTTCTCCACGTCAAGGACCTCTTCTGCCTTTTTTTCAGAACAAAGGGACACGTCCACCCTCAGCTCAAAGACTGATTTATTACTGATTTCAAAGCAGGCAGAACTAATACTGGTGAACTTCTAATTGTATGTATAAATCTTTAACTCCATTTCTTTAAAGAATTCCTTCTGACAATTTATTTGCTAGAAATACACAGAAAATGGCGCCGAACAGCTTTGTAGGAGACTCTGACGACAATTTCTACGGAGCTCAGAATATTTAAAGATCACTAAAACAGAAGTGATTTATTACCAAACTAAATAGTAAGCGGCTTGCCTGGATTTACTAATTGGGTGGAGAAGATTAAATCTGGAATGGCTTCTAAGCAGCAAAAATCCCCCCCCCCAATGCATCTAAAAGCACTGGAAATTCGCCTGCTCCTGGAACTAAATTACAGTCACTACTCCCCCCCCCACTTCTGCAGGGAAGCCTTTGACCCAAGAAATTTTGCAAAAAGAATTAAGTGTGGCCTTAGCTGAGGCTTTAAAAAATCATGCAGCTACGATGGAAATTAAAATAAAGGAAGAGATATCTGCTGCTCATA